GGAAAACTTTCCTCGTCAATCACCGTTTTCGGTGGTGTTCAAACGGGATGTAACACCTTCCCGTACCTCTTCGGTATGAATGACCAACTTTAGAGGGCCTTCTGAAATACCCCGAAGGGCGGCATGGAACCGTTACCAGGTATTGACTTCAATAATGTATGTGACATGGCCCGGACAGGAAAAAACGATCAAGCCATCTAAGACGCTTTAGACCAATTGGTGATCGAAGTCACTCAATACAGTATAAGCTTGATCCCCTCTAAGTGCCAAACGTTTACACAAAACTGGCAGGGTGCTCCTCTTATTGCACATTCTGAAAGCCAGTTTAGCATTAGTCAATATGGGACATTTGTGATGTCGATAAACATTAGACTGATCCTGGAGGACAAGATCTACAATGCTGCAATTCGACCTAAACTGCTGTACGGCTGCAACACTAAGCCAGTGAAAGAGGACGTGTGCTAAATGAGAATATTTGATCACAGGTTTATACACCATAAGATAACAACACCATATCAGTAATGAAAACCGCATGGAGCTGACTACACTTCGCTTAGGAGGATGGCCATCGTTCAGTCAAGGTGAAAAATCTCGCATGACATGATACTCAACATAAACAGTTAGACAAGATAAACCGACTTTTGACAATGGAACAAACAAAGCAATTATAGTGCAATAAAACCGTAAGGGGAACTAACCCATCGACTGTAAACGACTCAGTCATAATGCCAACTAATGAGTCGATCTGAACCACAAGTTGCGATAATTGGCCCAGTGCACTGTGCATTCGGGCACGTAGTAGACGTGTGACCGGAGCGACAGCATTGTCTATGGCAGAGTGAACAACTGCTGCACAACTGACTGCATTCGATACACGTGGTGACTGTTCGTGACAAGAGAAAGAGGATGAACAGGAGGAGGAAGGAGCGGTTGCAGCATTTGACAACACTTTAGTGGTTGAAGAATTGAAAATTTGAGTGAGCTGCGAAAGCAACGTTTCACCGTACGTCACGTGGTACCGCAAACGAGGAACAGTCCACGAGTGAACCAGACGATCACTGTCCTGACGGCGTTGAAAAATGCATAACCATTTTAGCGCTTGCCGAAGCTATTGAGAAAGAAGGAAGACGCGAATGAATTGTACTAATCAATAAGCTCAGTTAACTTTTAATGATCATTGTCTTTTGCCCTGGTTCCGGGATATTGCCTCGACAATTCACGGATATGGATAAAGCGGGAAGCGGAAGTGTATAGCCAAGGATATGACAAAATTAAATGGATAACACAAACAATGAGGTGGAAGAACCGCATTATGAGCAACAAAGCTATGTATTCAAATTGGTAGCGGCCTATGAACCCTAAACAAGAAGCTTAATATGGCCAATTAGTGAGGTCCCTAGAACCTACTCTTTAATTTAGGAAGCCGGCACGTGTAACGTTTAGCGTTACCGATATTAGAGCAAACAAGAGGAACAGGAAATAGAAATTCGCCCCTTTAGAGCTACTGAACGATTAGCAACATTCTAAGATTGTGAAACCTCAATACACAAGGCTGCGGGGAATATTATTTGGTGTTTCAACGATAATCCAATAACCTGAAGCGTAAACAAAAACATGTACCTTTATAGACGGAGAATGTTTAGATTATCTTATTCGCTGCTTAAGCACCGTCAAGTTTACTATAGACCAACGATCATTCTATTCTTAGACGTTCGTGCGGCCTTCAACTCTGTCGATAGGACCACACTATAGAGCTGTTTGTTGAGAGATGGAGTACCTAAGAAGTATGTGTCGATCCAAAAAAGTTGTCGTCATACCTCAGGTCAGGTTAGGGATTATGGTCAGCTTTCACCACGCTTCGCTCTCTTCAGTGGAGTTCGAGAAAGCTGCCCTATTTCCCCTTTCATTTTCAACTTCACCATAGAGGATGTTCTGCAGGACGCTTTGTCCGGTCTAGCAGACGGGGGAGTCGAACTCCTCCCAGGGAATAGAGTTCTTGACTTAGTATATGCCGATGACATCGCCTTGTCAGGTGACAATGCACAGGCAGTCCAACAAGCTTTACACCACTCGGCGATAGAGATATCCAGGTATGGTATGTGCTTTGCACCATCAAAGTGCAAAGTGCTGGTTCAAGACTGGCAGGGAGCATGCCTGCATTCACCCTCTGTGGTGATCAGCTGGAAATAGTCGAGAGCTTTAAGTACCTCGGCAGCTTAATCACAGCTGGAGGTGGGGTTGGGGAAGAGATCACATCACGAATAGCGAAAGCTAGACCAGCGTTCGCCAATCTCCGACATCTGTGGCACCGCCATGACATCCGACTGTCACTTAAGGGAGGAGTGTACATTGCCGCGATTCGTGGCGGTTTGCTCTATGGCTACAAGACCTGGCCTCTCCAAGCGGCGGATGCAAATCGAATTTCCGTATTCGACCACCGATGCAGTCGAAGCATTGCGCGTGTCTGGTGGGATCATTGGGTGAGCAATGACGAAATTCGTAGTCGTGCGCTGAGTACTGATAGTCGTTCTCTAACGGAAGAAATCGCTCGGTTGGTGCAGCTCGCCTTCCAGGCTGGAGCCCAAGGGATGAAAATTGCCGATGGCTAGATACGCTGGGAGATATGGTTCAGAATAGATGTCAGTGGCGTGATTGCTGTACGGTTTGTTTGGCGAAATTCTGTTCCCTATAACACAAAAATTTTCAAAAAGTGTACAGCACCATGCTTGTTCGCAAGCCGGTGT